CTCAAGAATCACAGCCAAATCGTTACAGTTTTCTTCCAAATGCACCGAGTGTCCCATATGAATTGATGCAAGTGTATTTCCATTATGCAGCAAGACTAATTTGAGACTTGTTTTAGACGAATCAATGAAAATGCGCCACTCAAATGGATCATATTCTGTTTCAAAGCATTTCATGAGCCCTTGAATATCATTGCAAAAAATGATATTTCCGTCTTTGGAGAAAAACTGAGTGAATTCCTTCTCTCGGTGCCTGTACCATGAGAATGATGTTCCAGGTGACAGCAATTTTTTATTTTTTAGTCTTGACCCTAGCAATTCGGCTGTATCTTTGGAAAGGCCTAAATTTTTAACTAAGTCATTGAGCTCACTCTGAGAAAAAGATTGGGGTCCCTCATCAACAGAAAAATCTGAGCTTGATTCATCCTGGGGTGGTAATATGGTCCCGTCCTCCATATCACTCTGTATGTCATCCAAACTGGAAGGTGGGAGGGGAACTGGTATTTCAGAGCTATGAGGCACTGGACGAATAGCTGAATTAAGGTTTGGGTAAGATATTTTCTTTTTATTTCTGTATTAAAGCCTTTCACATCTACCAAACAGAAATAACAATCAGTTGTGTGGTTTTGCTGTTCACGCCACATCATAGGAATGCCAAAACGAAATGAGTTTTTTTTACCCTTAAACCACAAACGAAAATCTTCCTTGCACCTTCTGCACACCTTGTAAGGAGCCCAAGGCCTGATCCCCAAGTTTCAATTTGAAATAAGCAAAATACACTTTCTTCACAAAATCACTTATGTTTCTTTGTTGACTTTTAACTATGTATTCACCACAAATAAAACAAAAGTTGTCTGGAGAAATAACACAACCTCTTTGAGCCATAATACAGAGCTAAAACACAAGCAAAGTCACGTTTGAATGCAGGATGTAAACTGAGTGGCTTATACATCAACCAAGATCCTGAACTTATTTAGCATGTTGAGACATGATCAAATCNTAAAGTAAGAAATAATTATTGGATATGGTTTCTAGAATCAACAAATGGATACCAGATTTCATGTTGAAGAGAAATTTCACGCAAAATTAAACTAAAAATATGAGTTTTGCAAAAAAAAATTGACGTGATGGATTTTTTTTTTTACTATTTTTTCCGGTTTTAGTGAGTAAAAATCTATAAGAAACAGTAAAAATATCCTATGCAGTGTTTTGGTTGCAGACCTGTGTTATTGTTCATAAGCCAACAATTACAAGCATGATGACAATACCAAACTTGGAGGTAAAATTTGACAGATTTAAAATTGTGTCTTGTTTTTAAGTAACATGTTATTCCCAAAGAGAATTTAATAATAATGATAATAGAAATCTGTGACATATTTAGATTTGTAAGCCACACTAAGTTCCGACTTGAGTAGGATTCGAGCCTATGGCTGCCAGTATGCAAAGTTAGCACTCATCCATGAGCTGAATTGACTTTTAATGTGGGACTATAAATGAAATGAAATGAAAGCTTGCACCATAGAATTATAACATTTACAAAACAATATTTGTAGGTCTGGAAGAGGAAAACAGACTTCATTCCTTTGTTTACTCACATTTTATGTATTCTAAAATTTAGTTGAATTAAGTTGTGTTTGCTCCACCAGCAGATATTAGTTTGATGGTCACTCTGAAGTTAATCTGGAATAATAGTATATTCAGTTTCCATCTAGCTGTCTAGCTCAGTCAGTAGTGTTACAAAGCCGTAATATTTAAATATTAGGTTTTGGGTCTCCATATTTGCTGTTTGAAAATATGGAATGCATCATTTGGAGAAGGGGGACATAAAATGGGTGTAGGTAAATAAGGAAATTTGTTAGAAAATTGATCAAAATAAGCAACATCTGAACAACAGTTAAAAGTAGAAGTAGAATAGAACAATTACTGTTATTCAATTTTCATTTTCATTTTTCATTTTTATTATCATTCAACACAATTCATACATACAGGTACTACCACCATTTGGATACGGAAATTCTTAGAAGAATATAGTAATGTTTATGTTGGCTAACCAAGACATAGTTGAACCTTGGTTTATTTAATGACACTTCTGCAGCTGTATAGATTATGTAGCATTCAGTGGTAGGATGATTGGGCAATAATGATTTAGAAAGGACATGAAAGGAAGTGGTAATGTCCTGTTAAGGTACTATCCCTGTATTTACTTGGATGCCACTGAATAAACCAATATAAACCTTGGAGTAACCAATCCCTAGGCAAAGATTCAAACCTAATATCTCCAAAATATGAGGAGGGATTAAAACAGCTGCTGTATGCGGGTTATTTAATAATGCTGTCAGTACGTTAGTACTGAGGCTCCAGTCTAGAAAACCGAAATTAACGGCCGTGGGGATTCGTTGTGCTGACCATGCGATACCCTCTATCCATTAAAGTTGTCACTAATTTTTTTTAATGCTAGTGGTGTGGGACTAAGTCCCTTGTACTGCGGCCACTTCTGGCCTATTGTACCAGCCCCAGCTGATAGGTGAGGGTGATTGTGGAGCAATTGGTGGAATGAAGATTGGCAGGGGAAACCGAAGTACTTGGAGAAAACCTGCCCCAGCACCACTTTGTCCACCACAATCCCACTTGACCAGACATGGGATCGAACCCGGTCTGCTGCAGTGGGAAGCCAGTGACTAACTGCTTGAGCTATGGCGCGGCCTTAAATTTGGCACTAACTTTGCCGACAAGTGGCAGTCACTTGGTTGGTATAGTTTGCTTGGGGACTGAAACCACAGAGTTTTTTCTTTTGTCATTACCGAGGCTATGTAATTTTGAATGGGAGAATTGCTGACGAATGATTAATTGGAGAGGATTTGACAGGAAGCAGTGGTAGTGTGGTTGAGGTACAATTTTGACATTAACCAGGTGGGACTGTGGAAAACCACGAAACCCTCCAGCTAGCCAGTCTCCCAGTTAAGATTAAACTGAGCACCTGCTGAACAGAAGTTCAGAGCATTACCTCTGGGCCAATTTATTTTATATCTGTAAGTGGATTTGTGTGATTATTTAATTGTTAGGATACAACATCAGGGCATGAATAATATGCAAAGGCAATGATTGTAATTTGAATACAGTATCTATTCAGTATCATATTATAATTTTGCATGATGAGACTTTGGTTTCCTTTCAATATATATTGATAGCTTTAAATGTTAAACATATTAGGATATACGTGTACAACCGTAAATGTTATTCCGAACAATTTCAGTTTGTGATCTTGACTGTAATCATGATGAACTGCCATAGAAGCCTGCTTTTAGATGCTACTTCAATTGGTGTCTGGTTCAGACACTACTGAGCTTTGAAAAGAACCTATTTTGAAAGTAATCAGTTTACGTATCAGCTGCCTGGTGCCAGAGAAAAATGTGCACCACTCACAACTGATGACTCTTAAGTCTGACCCTAAACCCATCATGTGAATTTACAGCTTGATTAATATAGCCCGCTCATGCTGACAGGCCATTTTTGCTTGAGTTTTACTTCACAGCCTGATTTGTTACACCTTCAGATAATTCTGAATGTGACGGTGAAGTCTGTAAATTTTGATGGTGCAAATCCCATTGGAAAATTCCAAGACTGTTATTGTTGTAACTACCTCAGTGAAAGAAGATGAGAGGGGAGGCCAAAGTCACACTTCCACAAGCCTATTGCATCAGTCTGGCACATGACACCAGGCTGTGAACATGCATTGTTTTTATACGAGTGCTTTTTCATCTTTGTGTTTTGTTTTGTCTGTGATTGAAGGCAAAATTGAGCAACGTGTCTGCATCAAGTTTTGCTTGAAGCTCAGTAAATCTGCTACCAAAACCCTTGAAATGCTTCATGAGGCTTTTGGAAAACATTCTTCAAGCAGGACAGCAGTTTTTGAATGGCATTCACATTTCAAGGCCGGTCTGGTCGAGTGTCAGTTGAAGATGACGAATGTTCAGGGCGATGAAGCACAAGCAAAATGACAGAAAATGTTAAAAAAATTCTAGAACTCATCCACGAAGACCATCACTGAACAATCCATGAGCTCAGAGACACCCTTGGGATCAGTTATGGAGTTTGCCAGGAGATCATAACAGAAAATTTGAACATGCCCCAGATTGCCACAAAGTTTGTTCCCTGTCTCTTGACAGATGATCAAAAACAGCGGCATGTAAACATGTGTCTTGAGCTACAGAGAAGTCTAATGAGGACCCAGCTTTTATCTCTAGGATCACAATGTGTGACAGATGCTGCATTTCTGGTTATGATCCAGAAACAGAGCAACAAACATCACCCATGATATGTATATACTTGCCATTTTGTAGTGCACTCAATTTCACCTGTTACTTCACAACATGTTTCGGCAACATAGTGCCATCATCAGGTGCCCTAATTACGCTAATCTATTTCATTGCTTGCCTTTATAAAATTATTTAAAAGTATTTAAAAAGTATTTAAAAAGTGCGTATTTGTCAACTATAATAAATTTACATGCACTAAAACTTGTTAAGATTATTCATTTTATGTGTCTTAATTAAAACTTGCGTGTGGTTCTTCTACTATGGGGGTCGTTTTTCTTATATTCTGTGTAAACTGTGTCTTGTGATGTGTATTCCCTTCTTAGCTGCGAGTGTTGTAATCAGCCTCTCTACTCACTGGACTTAGCCCCGTGTGATTTCACTTTGTTTCCAAAATTGATAATGAAACTGAAGGGACAATATTTTGAAACAGTGTATGACATCAAAAGGGAATCACAAGTGGTACTTGACATCATTAAGGAAAATGATTTCCATGGTGCTTTTGAAGTGTAGAAAAAACGATGGGATGGCTTTATACTTTCCCAAGGAGACTATTTGGAAGGAGATAGCAATCAAAATTGATTAAGTTAAGCCAGCATTTCCCTTTTGACCTAGTCCAGGAACTTTCCCATAGCACCTTATATGCCTGTTAGATTCACTGTTCAACATACTTTTCATTATAATTTATAGGTTGTTCTGGTCTGATAGTGCTGCCACGGGATGTAGTAGGTGAGGAGGAGCGGGCATCTTTGTTCCCGTTCCATAACAGCCTGCTGTACCGCCAGCTTATGTCATCTGTCAGTGACCAGTACAGAGCTGGCAAGAGCCAGGTTTCAGATCATAATTCAGCTGAGACACCAGGTATGATCAGAGCTTTGAAGAGATCCAAATAGGAACCATCCCATTTCATTAGGAAATGTTGTTGTAAAAGTCAAGGTAGAGCTATTCTTGTGCTTAATTAAGCATCATGCCATGAAGATATATGAGGCAGGGTAGATATAACTCCATGCCCTCTTAATCTTGCCTCTAGATTTAGATGAGTGGTCGGTCAGTTTCTTACTGCGGCTGCTTTACATACGAGGAAAGAGCTAATTCTGCTGGGAATTCAGCCAAAGTTAGTTATCAGCTCATAGCCTAGTCTGCATGCTGACTGAGATCTCATGGCTTAGTGAAAGTTTTCATGAAAATAATGTAATTAATATATTGTATTTTTTAACTTGACAAGCTGTACTGGTTAGTTAATCAGTTACTTTATGATATTGTACGAACTTCTGAGGCTATGTGGTGCCAGATGAATCACAGAAGTATGATTATGAGCAATGAACTGAGATGGATATTGGGAAAACTGGACGTGGTCAATTTTAAGGCAGCATCCTGACATTTCTATGTAAGAACTGAGGAAAATCATCCATCTGTCAGCATAGCCAACTACTAGCTGAGAGCTGAATTGGTTATCTTCCAGACATGAATTAGACTAGACCTTTTCAACTGTGCCACCTAGCTTGGCGGGGGCATGCTATAATGTAGTTGGTTGACGCAGTATGCTACAAGCCAACAGGTTGTGGGTTCAATTCCTGATGAGGTCACTGGATTTTTCAGTTGACCTAATCCTTCCAGCTGCACTATAGCCCTGGAGTTGACTCAGCCCCTAGCAGAAAGGGCAGCCAGTGCATAATGACGACAACCTCGCCTCCATCTATGAGCCGATTGTCTGGAAAATATGGGAGCCTTGATGTCACATGGCCCAATGGTCCTCCACAGGATACTGTTTTGAGTCTTCTATACATTTGGATCTCATAATGTTCTCCTTGATGTTAGGTACAGGGTGCTTTGTTACCAAAGGAACCTTAAATGAGGTAAAAATTGCTGGAGATAGCTCATTGCAGGATTATATAAAATTGTCTTCTTACAGATGATGCAGCAGAGATGGCACCAAACAGAGAAATGGATGCTGTTGCTATGCCAACACAGAGGCCATTGAATGGTGCAGCAGCAAGGCAGGACGAAGTTGTAGTGACATGGAACACAGGCTGCTGGGCTGATTGGCAGCTTCCAATCTTGGTTGTTCTGTTTGCTGGCCTTGGAGTTCTAGCTGTGATATTTGTGGTAAGTATTAATAACACACATGTTCACTGGCAAAGGTGGTTGTAAGTTTACTTTACAATCCCAGAATGTTCTTTGCCTCTCAATTATTAAATTATAAAATGGAAATGGTGTTAATCATTGGTTATATCTATTGTTAGCAAAAATACAACCAAAAAGGCAGAAACCATCTTCTGTCATCAACTACTCTGCCTGTCTTCTGATAATCAGTGTATAAGCAGATTATAATGGGCAATTAATTCTGAAGCACTTATCTAGGTGTTATCTTCATTGCCTGTGAGTAACTTAAAGAAATGCAAAGATATTGTCTTGGGTAGTCAGCCTTGTGAATATGAAGTTGGTATGTTATGTTCTGGAGGCTGTCTCTGCCTCTGAAATATCAGATACCAGCTATATATTCATATGCCTGATTGGCCAAGAAGACTTTATTGTATATAGTTGCCATGGAAGCTTCAAATCTTATATTTAATGAAATGCATATGTGTACTTGATGCCATGAAATTGAGCAGTTTGAACAGAAGAATGCAATTCGACATTTTAGAAATGATTCTTGAAATTGAGATCCCACAGTGAGGTCAAGTTCAAGAGGGATGAACAGGAAAGCACAACTGGAAAGTGACAAGAGGGAGAAAAAATGAAAAGAAATTTCATTAAGTTTATATTTCTTTACAATAGTCTCCTTATCCCATCTCATTCCATGTTATTTGCTTTCTATCAAAGACACGTTTGATAGTTTGTTTAATAAATTTTTTCAGGCATAATACTGAAATTTGTGACATCAACATTTTTTATTAATGTTTAGGAAAAGATGAGAGCATGTAAGAATCTCAGTTTGGTAAATCTGATAAATCAGCTATGGTCTGAACCCCACTTGATCTGTACAGAGGAACCTTCATTTAATGTCCTTGATTTGAAGTTTTTCCTCATTTATTGTTAAATTTAAATGCTCCAAAGTCAATTATCTTTGTGAAAAATTGCCTCTATTTAAGATTTTCATTAATTTAATTTTTAAATCCACTACTCCCCAAACAAAACTTTGAATGACTACTAAAAAGTAACCTGTCAGGCAGTGGAAGAGTATTTTCTTTTTTTTCCCTAGACTTTTTTCTTCATTGAAAGTGGTCATAAATGTCAATCATCACATTTTCAACTTTGGTTTATATACAGCCAATCTTATGCTGTGCTCTCTTATTATGTCGATGGAGCCTTGCTCTAGCAAATGCTTTTTTCGTAATAGTGTAATATGTTGTGTGTGCATGCATGAGTGTGTGTGCGCGATTGTGTGTGTATGTGCGTGATTCTATGTGTGTATAGTGACATATTAATCCCATTTTTTTTATTGCTAGTGGTGTGGGGCTAAGTCCCTTGTACTGTGGCCACTTCTGGCCCATTGTACCAGCCCTGGATGATAGGTGAGGGTGATTGTGGAGCAATTGGTGGAATGAAGATTGGCAGGGGAAACCAAAGTACTCGGAAAAAACCTGCCCCAGTGCCACTTTGTCCACCACAAATCCCACTTGACCAGACCTAGGATCGAACCCGGGCTGCCGTGTTGGGAAGCCAGCGAATAGCTTGAGCTATGGTGCGGCCCTTTATTAATCGCATTTGTTCCTCACTTTCAGATTTTTCTTCATTTAAGGTTTAATTTAAATATTAATGAGCCCATAATCCCATAGTTTAATAATATAATTTATTTCCTCACAGAGAAGCATTAAATGGGGATTTCTCTGTAATTTTATTTCGTATTTAGCAAATCACATCAAATTGAAATATCTGTGTCACTTTTATTGATGCAGATTTTGCTATGGCTGAAAAATCAGATGCTGTCATCATCCAAGCTCAAGGATGTAGAGCCTGCTAGTCTGGCCACAAAGTCGTGCACCCCCACAGGGGCAGGAGTGGAAGCACAGTGGATCTTTCATCCTGTGATGAAACCTCTGCTGGAATCTGTAGATTCATCAGGTGTGCAGCCTCAGCAACCTGATCGTGCTACCCTGCCAGAGGTGATGTCAGCAACTGAAGGAAAGAAAGCTGAACCCATAAGAATTAAGGCAAAGGGACTTCTAGAAAGGCGAGGATCCAGTGCCAGCTTAACTATAGACCTGCATCCAGGAAGTCAAGAAAACCTGGCAACAGTTGTGACACCGACCAGGGAATGGTAGGATAAATAGTTAAGAAAAATAGGAAATTTGTTGAATTGGACCTGAGTGCAAAGCAGAAAGCAGGGACTGAACCAGAGCCATGTATGTTTTGTTCAACTGTAACCACTATTATTTCCAGCTGTAAGAAACTGACTCTGTTAGTATAAACTAAAATTTAACCAAAACTCAACATGGAACACAATTGTTAGGCTTTTCTATGCATCTCCTATCCCCATAACATACCTTCATAAGATCCATCTTAATGATATTTTTCATCTCCTTAGAGCTGGGGTAGAGCAGTCGGTATAGTGACTGGCTATTTCATCTCCTTAGAGCTGGGGTAGAGCAGTCGGTATAGTGACTGGCTACAGACTGGACAACCGAGGATTTCGAGTTCCAGTCCTGGTAGGGTAAAATATTTTCTCTTCTCCATGTTGTCCAGACCAGTTCTGAGGCCCACCCAGCCTCCTATACAATGGGTACTGGGGGTCTCTTTCCCTGGGGGTAAAGCAGCCAGGGCATGAATCTGACCACACACCTCCATCTAATACCAAAATCAAGAAAATGTGGATCTATACATTCACTCCCAAATACACCTTCATGGCGTAATGCTTAATTACAGGGACAACTTCACCTTTTTCATCTCCTTAGTCTTCTAAGTGACCATTTGCCAGTACATTTATCTTCCAAGATTCTGTGTGTATTTATTTCCTCGCTGCTTCAAGCAACATGTTCAGCCCACTGTAATTTCTTTGAGTTCAGTCTAGGTGATCCTGTAAATTGGCAATTTATGAGTTGCTTGAAAATTTGAGCTGATCTCAATACTTTATATAGCTTGGGCTCAGCTTGAACTTGAAAATTTGGAGCATAGATTTTCGATTGTAAGCCATAATAATTTGCTGATGTAACTGTGTTGTCAAAATTATTTATAGTCCTATTGTTTGTAGACTGCAATGGACTCATTCTGATTGGGCTTGGCCTTGTCTTGTTTAATAAAACACATATGCTAAGAAATGTTATGCCTGCCATATTTCATCTAGATAACCAAATGTTGCCAAATCATTGTGTATCCTACAAGGAAAAGTTTCCAGAAACAAGAATAGATGACATGAAAAGTCTTAAGGAGTAGTATGCTCTAAAATGTTTACTAATAAAAAAAATAATTAACCATGTTTCATATGAGCTGTTTCGGTACCAGTTTAGTTCGAAGATGAGCACATGTTACTACGAGTATACTTCTTCATATACTGACTTTTTCAGTCTTGCAATAATAATTTCTCCAACAAGTATGAATATTGGTAACAGAATAACAGAAACATATAGTAGGGTATTACAAAGGATATAAAGTATAGTGTCTGCAGTAAGTGACTTCAGCGATTCTGATAGGATACACAGTGTGTACGTGTTTCATAGTATTGTGTATGTGATGATGTGGTAGTGCTGTAAACCAAGAGGAACATTCCTACTTTTGGTTACAGATGCTGAAACACCAGCAGCAATATTATGATGTTTTAAGTCTCCATGTAAAGAATGGACACAGTGCTTAATCTGTGTATGTTATATTTTCTCATGCCTTTGGATATGGCCATCCCTATAATGTTAACCGCATTTTACTAACCCAAGTTTTTTCTCATGTTGGTTAATACTTTATTTGCTGTAAAAGTCAGCATATTATTTGTAATATGTCAATAGATATAACAGCCAGTGAAGGTTAATGGCACTTAAAGTAAAAAGGAATTTTGTGACTGCATTACATGCAGTGATAGCTAGTCCAGTATTACAATTAAAATACAGCAAGACATGTAGTTAATTAACACCATACAGTTTACACTGGCAATGAAAATTGATGATCAGGATATTGTCCTTCATAAAATGTATTTGAAAATAATGAACATGGCATAGAAGCAAGTTGTTTATAAATCACATGGATCCTCTACTGGTTGTGTGCGGGCTGTTTAGAAAGTAACTTCTGGTGAGCTGTTAGCAGAACAAGTAATGAGAAAAAATGTATTATGTATAAAGATATATACCTACTTAAGCCATTTCTCAACATAGTCACTGACAGAACTGAGACACTTGTCATATTGGGGAATAAGTTTTTGTATGCCTGTGTCAAATTAATCTGCTGCTGATTCGCTCAGCCGTATTTTGACGCCTTCCATGAACTCCTCATTATTGTTTAAGTGCTGTGATCCGATCCAGTTTTTCAGGTAGGTAAACAGGCAGCAGTTGCTCAGAGCGAGATCAGTTCTGTAAGGACGGTGGTCAAACAACTTCCAGTTGAAATTCTCCAGCAGTGATAGAGTGCAAAGAGTTGTATGTGGATGCACATTTTCAAAGAGAAGAACTACATCGGATATCAGTATTCCACACCTTTTTTTCTGAATGGTCAGCCCTATGCATTTTTTTAGTGTCTTGCAAGATACCTGTGACATTGTGGTCCCTTGTTGCATAAATTCCACCATCAGCACTCCTTTCCTGTCCCAGAAAATGGCTGCCATCAATCAACTTTCTGGCAGACAATGTTTGTTTAAAATTTTTGGCTTGTTTGGTGAATGTGTGTATATCCATGGCTTTGACTGCTCTTTGGTTTCAACATTCACAAATGAAACCCAGGCTTTGTCACCTGTTACTTGTATGATATGATTGAGAATTTCATCGTCTTTATGGTATCATTCTAAAATGTTGAAGCATAAGCCATTCTCTGCAATTTGTGCGTGCATGTGAGCATTTTTGGAACCCATCTTTTGGAAAACTTGTGATAGCCTAGCATAATTGTAATAATCTCGTGTTTTTAGCATGAAGAAAGCAGATAACAGCACAAATTTCATGGCTGGCAGGATTATCAATCACAGGACACCTCATATATCACTCTGTAGTGACAAGAACAAACACTAAGTGACCAGTTATGTGATGTTTTACAAGGCAATGAGTTATGTGATGCTACCTCACATGTGAGGGCTTTCCCACACCCTCACATTAGTTGCCTAAAATAAACATAGTGTAACATATATAGTTAGGCAACAGCATGATAAACATCTCGCGTAAGTTTACTGAACAATATGACCGATATTTATAGCTCGTTGCTAGGCAACAGTCAGCATGCCAATGGGCTGGCGAGGATGGCTATCACGTGAATGGCCTTCTATGGATAGCAATGGTTCAGTGAAAGTGTGAAAACAATAGAGGCTGTGTTTCTGTGTTGTCCGTGCTGAAGGCTTATAAGAGAAGTGAATTCAGCATGGAAAATTAAGCCATAAGCTGACAGAGTGAATTGGAATTGGGAGTACAGAAGAATACAGGAAGTCAGCCTGTGAGGATTTAAAGTGTCATTAAAAGACTTTATCCTTATATATTATTTGGAGTGAATTTAAGCCCCAGTTCCTGTGTTTTAAGTGCATTACCAGGAGAAGACTATTGTGTGTGTAATAGTGAATTATGATGTGTAGAAATCAGCCATAGTGCTGTAGTAATTGTGATTAAGAGAAATTGTAAGAAAAGGGATAATAAATTCAGTCATCCGAACTAAGACCCGTCATTTTTGTCACATGTACAATCTTACACGTGACAATAGGTTACTTTCAAAATAGCCCTTGTATCTGCAATGGTAGTATAATATCAATGGGGATGGCTATTTTACTTCTTGAAACAGTATTTTGCAATGAGTTGTCAAAGCAGTTTCATCATCTGGCTCAGCAACAGAAAATTATTTGGGCATTTTCTTTTGCCATAAGATAAACTTATTTATGGAGCAAATTTCTACCATTCCATTTATAAATGAAATATATCAGAGTATCATATTGTGTTTCTCAACTAGTAATGCAAGATAGATATCCTGTCCACACAACCAATAACTGAATTAACTGCATACAGTACTTTATTCTTGCAACATGTTTTGACCTCTCAGTCATTATCAGGCAGCATATAATTTATTCCTAGCATAACCACTATTATTACTATACACTAGTCAATGTTTGTAAGTAATTCATAAGTGGACTGAGACCAAAATACATCTGATTACAATCACTTAAATATTGTATACCGTGTTCTGATTACAGTACAACCGAAGAATATTTGCTTTCTGCTGGGAATGTTCTGAGTCGGGGTCAGTTACGTTTGTGTCTGCATGAAGCACGGACACTTCATCGGGAATTCTGGGATTTGCCATCTAACCACCCCGAGAAAGCAGAGGTTGCTGGAAGTGGTACAAAGAACCGTTACCGCTCCATCTTGCCCAATGAGAGGTCAAGAGTCAGATTACCTGTTGGTAATGAAGATCTGTTAGCAGGATATATTAATGCCAACTATGTCAGAGTAAGTATCAGTAACATGGAACTTGGTGTACTGTTGAATTTTCTTGCATAGTTTATGAACTCTTTCTTTGTGGTAAAAATGTTTATATTTCATTTATATAACTTAATTACTGTTGTTTTGTATTTAAAACAATTTAATAAGTAGTTCCCAGTTGGGGAGAAGTAATGCATGAATCTCAGAATGCAAGATAAGGGTAATAAAGCGTGAAAGATAAATGAAACTGGCACAATTTATGATGCCTATTAGCTTTGACCAGTTTGTCTGTCTGTACACATGTAATGATGCTGTTTTGGATGGAAGGATCTTGCTTGAATTTGTTACCGAACTTTCTCATGAAAATGTGTGTAACAAATAAAATTTTGATGCAAATTGAGCAGTACCATTCCAACATCACATGAATGTGTGAATACTTTGTAAATATATTTTTGTAAGTATTGACAAAGTATAGGGATATTTCAGACGAATAATTCAACTTTTAACAGTTTCTAGTTCCACTCAAGTTCATGGTATTGTGATGGTTTGAGATGGTTTCTCACTTGCTCTGCATCTACTACAATTGGGACATAGCCATTAAGTAACTTACAGATCAATCAATATAAGTGCCTTCTTATATTCTGTCTTATATATCTTGCCCAGAAGAGATGTATAATTTTAATATGATGTGCTGAATTAGGTGTGGGAGAAGACTGATATAGCAAGTGTTACATAACTTCGAACAAGGCCAAGAGTAACCTTGAATGTGCAGAAGAAAATTTTCAGGCAAGGGGGTGGGTTCAAAGGTGTGAGAAGTGACAGGCAGCCAGTTTCTGCAGCAGTTTTCCCAAGTTTAAAACAAAACTTTATACAGACACCCTGCTCTCTCAGGTCAGCTATCGCAAAACCACAAACTCACGGAAACAACAATGGAAATACGTTCACCAATAATAAACCCAACCACTCAACTCAACGCCACTTGCCACACTGATTCAAGAAGGGCATGTGGGGAGACACCTAGCGGTATTCGATGTACTCATAACCATTCACGCCAAAATTCAAATTTCGGGAACTTTTGGATTGCACCGTGTAGTTATCAAATGCTAAATAGAGTGAGTAAATTTATGAATAAGAATTTTTTGATCCTGTATATTTTGTCAGTCTTGTTTAAGGTTTTAATTTTCCCTGATGAAATATCGTTACCACCATTTCTATGTTGACAGATTTGGATGAATCTTGTGATGCTACAAGTAGTCCCCATGTGTTATGTCTGTGGGATTTCTGTTGAAGCTAATGATCAGTCTGTGATATAGCGCATACCAAAATCATTGTAGAAGAACAGGGAACTTGTTTATTCTGGCGCTTTCATTGGTTTTATTGACACTGAAGACTATTATCAGAGTGTAATTATGTCATATTTTCACATCTTGGTGGTCATCAGGTAAACGCCTAAGATGTAGTGAATACTCAAATGGTTAATATATACTTAGAGCATTCACATATGACATATTAGGATCAAGGAGAAAAGGGTACATTTGTTTGATAAAATTCAGAAAAAATATTTCAGGGTTATGATGGAGAAGAGAGAGCCTACATTGCAACTCAAGGACCTCTCCCACATACTGTGTCTGATTTTTGGACAATGGTTTGGGCTGAACACCCTCCTGCTATTGTGATGATTACAAAGCTGTGGGAGAAGGGTCGACCTAAATGTGAAGCCTACTTTCCACATGGTGAGCCAGGAACATGTGAAGCTACAACAAGCTATGGGGATATTACCATTACAGTCAGGAGTGTTACACACAGAGATGGCTATATAATACGGGAACTGCTGGTTCAGGTGAGTGTTGGTTTATTGCTTCAATTTTGCCTCACCATAGCTCAAGTGGTTAGTCCCTGGCTTCCCACTGTGGTGGCCCGGGTTTGATCCTGGGTCTGGTCACGTGAGATTTGTGGTGGACAAAGTGGCGCTGGGGTGGATTTTCTTGGAGTACTTCGTTTTCCCCTACAAATCTTCATTCCACCAAATTCTCCATCATCATAATCACTCAGGGTAGGCTACGATAGGCCAATCAGTGGCTGCCGTGCCGAGTGGACCCAGTTGGACTCCACCCCCCACTAAGTGAATTAAAAAAGAAAATTGCTTCAATTTTGTCATGCTTAAATAGATACAGGAATTGTCTAGCTTTACGGTGTGTATAATATTTGTCACACACATATTCACTGTTTCTATTATACACATGGACCGTGCTTAAGAGGATTCTGCTCAGATTCTTGTTTTAATTCTAAAAAGTCCCAAAATAATACCATGAGAATAATGTATTTATATCCAGTTTAAGAAGTTTCCCACATAACTTGCTTAAAAAAGCAATATTAAAGCAATATGTCAAACATTTTGCCTATTTAATAAAGTTTTGTTAGATTACATACTGTCAAATGTAGGGGATATGCATGACTATTGGATGTGTTTTGTATTGGATGTTTGGATTTATTAACACCTTATACATTCACTCAGAACTACAGACGATTACAGTGCTATCACTATCACTTTACAGTTCACTGCTATGCACACTAGTGTCCTCAGTCTATTACAGTCTTTACTATTCATTTCCTGGTAAAAAATTCATAACAATCTCATTGTAACCACAGCACAATATTAAGCCTTCTTTGCACAGCTTAATTCCTTTCTGCCATTATTCTGCCAACTGCCAACTCGGGAACTTGACTCAATTCTAATAGTAGTAGCCTAAGATCTTTGTTATATAGCCTCAGGATCGCCTCCACAGGAAACACCATTTCTTCTGTTGTTGCATGTTGATTTACTGCTGCAGTGATGTGATTACTGCCCCGTTGAATAACCACGAGTGCAGCACCCTCCTCAATTGTTATGCATGTTCACTTCTGCAGGAATATGTTTACTGAGGCGTCGCCTAGCACTGAAATGTTCCGGTTTTCAGGCATCATGTCATTAGTATATATAGAAAGAAGTAAGAAACAAAGTAAATTCTCACAATGATATATGCTGCAGCGCTTAGTAGCACTAGGTGAGTGGTAGAAGTTGGGTGAAAGTGGTGACTTTGTGACTTCCATCTGTCTAGATGGTAGCATGGATCTTTGTATGCAAGGTTATGTACAATGAACATGTGTATTGAATTTTGTGAAGCTTCATGAAAGTAAAGTGACTAATGTATTACACATAATTCTATGCATGACAACAAAAATAAACATAAAACATCAAGTGTTATCAGTTTCTGAGAATCTGGAGATCGTTAAAAAAGGAATAACTACAAAGTCAATAGAAAGTCCGTCGAGTGTAACAGTGTTTTTAGGTCACTTCTTTATCACATTTGAGGCAAATGTGATAAAGAAGTGACCCAAAAAACATTGTTACACTCGACGGACTTTCTATTGACTTTGTGATTGATAGTGTAACGGACCAAAAATGAAGCAATTAAAAAAAAAGGAATAACTATTTATACCTGTGTTGCCTGACACTAAATAACATTATGGCGCATAAGAAGAATATATGTCAGCAATGTTTAATAAACCAGCCAGGCAGGAAAAATGTTAAGAGCTTCTAAATGTGAGAAAACTGAAGTGGATTAAGCAGAAACAGACATTATACATATCAATTCAGGGTCCAATGTTCAGTCAGAAGGCTGAAGAAATTACCTAAAACTAAACACTGAATTCACACGTTTGAAGGGAGGGCTTGATTGTTTCAGAAAACTGGAAGATACTGTTGTTTTTAGATTACTTTGCACCACCACTTCCTTAATGGCATTCCTGACATTTGTCAAAAGAACCACCTCTTTCTGTCCATGGTAAAACATGACATGGCTGTAGAGTTGCTTTTTTTAAATGCACTGATTTATGAAAATTTTTCCAGAGAAAAAGAATTTTATATCAAAGGAGATAAATAATACACTTTATTACATGGTGAAAACTGGCTACAGTTGTATGTTGTGATTACAGTAAAAAGAAAATTGTTCTAGTAGAGAAAATTTGCTGTGCTTGTCTCAGGTCTTAAAGAGTTTCCAAGTCCTTGTCTTGATTTCATTTTGTACTGAAAAAAATATTTCTTCACTCACTAATTTGGTTCAAGTATGCCCAGGCATGCATGCACTCACCTTTATTTTGACAAGTGTCCTGTTGAGGCTTGTTTATTTTTCTTAGGAATGAATCATTCTCTTAAAATCATTCCTACCTTAGTGAAAACGGCACCTTCACATGTTGTACCACATTTTCACAGACAAGACTGGTGACACGACCATCAAATTTGGGGCAGAGGATGGAATTAAAGACGTTTAGGATCAGTTGCTTGTAAGTTTAGTTTCCCCTGTTGAATATTTGTTATTCATGAATAACCAGTGGAGTTGTGTGGTTTCTACAGTATATTTCTTCCATCCTATCATTTTTAATGACACTGGAGGACAATGTACTGCCGTAATTCTTATGTTACAGAGAGGCAATGAAAAACATGATCTGATGCATTTTTGGTATGACACATGGCCAGATCATAAGACTCCACCCAGTGCTCGGTCACTTGTAGCAATGGCCCGCGAAGTGGAAGCTGTTCGCACAAATACACGTAGGTAAGGGTTCTAGGTTTCAGATGGTGGTAGATGGTATTTAAGAAGAAATTCATGTACAATATATTCAAATAAAAATGTAATTTCCATTATGTACAAGAAACTGGCTGTATGGTCTGTATGCATCTGGAATTCTGATCCAACTTGTAAAAATGACAAAGGAAGTTTGTCATTTTTCAAAAGTTGTTCAAAAACAAATTTGTGATACACATATGTTCACCCACCAAGTTACATTTCTTCTGGCCAAAAATAGTAGTGCTGCCTGTCATCCCCTCTGATGTAGATGCCATTACAATAGAGGCTAATTGACTCTATGATTGTGTTACAGTATATGTATCCAAAAGCTTTCACCCATCAATCTGGCATATTGTCCAGGAAGAGCACATTTTAGCAGGAAGGTGCTGTGAGACAAGCTGGAATACCTTGTGATAGTGGTAGTGTATTATGTTTTTCTAGTGTGCTGGTGACTGAAGGAATTTCAGTGAACAGAATGAGCTGTGGAGGCCCTGTGGTGGTGCACTGCAGTGCTGGCATTGGCAGGACTGGCTGCTTCATTGCTGTATCAGTTGGTATGTTGCAGCTTCTAGAAGAAAACAAAGTAGACATACTTGGGATCGTCTGTCAAATGAGATATGACAGGTAAAATATTTATAATATGTTATACAAAGCAGTGTAGCTTAGGGAAGTGGTTCCCAAACTAGGTTGTGTGCATAAAAACTATGGAAATGCTCCAAAACTAAACTGCCAACTGATGAAATTCTTAATGTATGTACTTTTAAAATCCATAAAAGAGCCATTCCATCAGCAGTCCTTCCTATTTTTGCCCATGATTATTGATGTAAAACAGTGTATAGTGCATACAGTATTTTTTTATATTTCAGTAGCTGTGCTAGGTAAGAAGTATGGGAACCATTGGCTGATGGGATTTGTAGTCTGGAGCTAAGATGTCAAACTCCAGTGTGTGCATTTGCGCGCATGTTTGTGCATGTGTGCTCATGTGCGCAGATGAACGTGCGTGTGTGCATGTGGGGCGTGTATATTTATATGTTTTCAGTCTGTTTTAAGCTTTGAGCCTGCTAATGCCACAGTCTGTGCTATCATGCTATGACAGTTGTGGCAGACAGAAATATGTCTCAAGGTCAGAAACCACAAGCTGCCATGAGGAGGTTGCCTGAAATACCGTCAGAGTGATGAAACTGATATGGTAATTCAGTGGGTTACAATATAACATAATTTTGTGCTAGGGGATATTGTCCTCAAAATAAACTTTGCAGTTCATGTAAGAGAAATACAGTTCAAAGGGAATAAGTATGTGCAAAATCTTCTGTCTGCCATGCTTCCATTGTTGTTGCTGTTGTTTGTGGATAATACATGATGCATTATTTGTCTGCTTTTCTTTCCTTCTGTCTCCCATTGCCATATCTGTAATGAAGCAGTTTGAACCATATATTCATATGACCATTTATGTTTTCCCTATGATTGTAGAACATGAAATATATTTTAAGGCACGTAACTAAGATGTGCTGTGCATAATCATCTTTGAAGTTTTCTCAGGGACTAATAATTGAAATAGTTTCATGTTTGCATCTTGTCACCCAAGAATAACTCATTACAAAAGACTCATACTGTGAAGCAGGTTGTTGGACATTTCTTTTGTTCTTTTTTTTTTGTGTCAGTAGTGTACAAAATATTTTCCCATTAATTGCCATTGCTGGGTACCATAGGTGACACTTCTAAAAGTCTACAAAAATTGATTTCAGTGCTCACTAGTGCTGAACATCAGTGCATTCAACTTCAGTTACTGTAGGATAATTGTAACTGTTATTTTGGCAGGGAGAGTTTCTCGTGAAACTAAGCCATCCATTCTTCCCTGTCTTTCCATAAGCACTCTTCCTCTGTCTGTATCCTCTTTGTATCCATCTCACTTCATCCCTTTACCTAGTCCTTGTCTCTCCACCAGTTCTTTAAATTATGTATTAAATAAGTGTGTTTCTCTTTCAGAGGAGGAATGATCCAAACAGCAGAGCAGTATGAATTTGTCCACCGAGCCCTATGTCTATTTGAACGTTCTCTCCCTGATCAGTCAGGTGAGTGAATAGACTGCAGGAACCTGATGCCATAGGCAAGACACAAGTATACATGCAACCAACTTTGCTGGGCTGCAGTTGAACCAGCCCATATATCAGAACCCTTAGTTCTGGCCATTGTGCTGGGTGCACATTGACCAACTGGAATGAAATGAATGGCTTGACCACTGGGGAAGTTATTTCTAAGCCCTTCTCCCACTGTAGAATGGGACCGGCTTATGTCAAGGTCAGTGGTGTAGATAATTGTTAAGGTATAATATAGTACAAAGTAACTTGAGTTTAGTCACATAGCTGTTTCGCTATGAAAAACATAGGCCCTGATTATATAAACATGAAAAAATGGACTATTTAAAACTTGGAGATCACAAAGAAAGATCAGTCAGTACAATCAAATGTAACACTGTTGGTAGCAGTAAACACTGAAAAGTGGCCCAAACTCTTGAACTTGTCAGCTTCAGTCCATATGACGAGAAGGACTGGCAGTCTTTCAAGCATTCTTGTACTGAATCAGTGTGAATTTTGTTTGATTTTATAGGTCACCTGAGGAGTCATATTTTTATATCATATGTATTTGTGTGTCAGTGTTTACTTCTGTCCACACCTCATCTTTTGAATGTTTGTATGACAATAGAACAAATACCAGTACGTAAAGAACACAGAGTTAGGTATTTGCATATAGTTCATAATTTATGTATTTAATTTAGAGGAACAAAAACATTAATCATGGTGTTTGAAATCAAATTCGAAAAGTATTTCTGAGGGAGTGTAACTGAGTCTAATCTCTGTTCTGTGCTTTGAATAAGTACCATTCCAAAATAAAAGTATACATTTGTCCATTGTAATTCACATAGAAGAGTAACGCTGAATATTTAATTATTTAAGAGGCTTAAATGTAATTATCATTGCAGTGCTAAGTGGCATTAGGAACTAGTTCCTTATTTGTCATAATTGTTGCAAGATTATTTATATAGAAGACCCCAATTAGAATAGAGCAAGGGAAGAGTGAGTTTAATGTAAACTACTTTCTCTTACATAGCCTATGTATGTTTCTCCTAAAAGGTTTAAAGTCTTGAACAGAAGAATGAAGCCAACCTTTTTCCAGTTTCAGATTATCAAAACTGTCTTAGCTGCTATATTTAAGGTTTAACTTTGTTGTAGTTACCTGAAAGTAGCAAAGTGCTGTTGTAATACTGGTGTAATTCTAAATTAACTTCAGTTAAACTAATGTGAAAGAAATTATTTTGTCTGAGCTATCTAAGTAAGCAAGAACAACGTTTTGCAGTCTTTTTGCCGATCGAACTTTGAAGAAATCTGCTGTTTTTGTTTGCAAGGTTTTTCAGAATGGTATATTTTTCTTGTAATTTGTTCCCTACTACAGAGCAACATACACATTACTATATCGGTCGGGATATTATCCTGTATCTTCAAACAGAAATCATTTGGTTGGGCAGTTGTCTTCTTGTCTTTTGCATTTAAGCCTGTATTAGGCTCTTTTTTTTGACCTATCATTTGAAAAACATTGAGACAGAGAACAGAGCTTGGATGCATCCTAATCCACAGAAGAGAAGGTCATCATGCTTTTGGGTTATGCTGAAAATTTTAACATGCAGCACTGGTCAAAATACTAAGACATGGTATTAATTGTAATGTTTAAAATTGTTTTGAGAGACAATTATCAGAGTATGCTCTGAAAGGGGCACTATATCCATGTCTGAATGTAAGCAAAAAATGGAGTTTTTTGAAAAAGCAAAACTTGTGAGCTTCCCATGTGCTAAGAGTATTTAAAATAAGTTTAATTTCAAGCTGACTAAAGACTTTGGAGGGTAGGAGCCTGTCACAACTTTGCTGCTGCAACTATATGTTTCAGTGCGGAGGATTTAAAATGAGTAACAACAGCATTTTGGGACTTCAGTCAGTCGTGGCAGTCTTTTTTTTTTTTTAACTAAATATCGATTTCAATTAACAACAGTTCGTGATTTTTAAAACTATAAAATAATCTTAGGATCACAGTGCAAATATTTGTTTTGACCTGTATAAGAAATATTACATTATTTTTTAATGTTAATTTTGTTTGTAAATTGGTAGGAATGACAAAGTAACTGCTTAAGTGCTGGCATTGTAGACATTGTATTTAAACAGCAGGTTTTAAAACATGGTGTGGGAACTGTCCACATTCTAGCAAACATTACAGTGACAGCTCAGGTATCATTGCTTAGCAACAGCGAGTAAACAGTCATTGCTAGGCAAAGCCTACTATATACTCTTAGTCTTCAGTTCTTCAAACCGAAGTTTGTCTGTGTGTACTGCGCAGCTATATGCATTATTTATTATAGTTGCACAGTACACACAGATGAAATTTGGTTTGAAGAATTGAAGACTGATATTACAGTACCAACAATACTACTACTTGTAACACCCACACCTCTCTTCTTAATCTTCTCAGTATCACTATATCTTCCTCTTATATAACATTGCGTGGGACCACATAGAAAACACGTCACTGTCCGTATTGTTGTACGCTTAGCCTATCAATGGCTGTTTACTCGCAGTTGCTAAGCAATGATGCCTGAGCTGTCACTGTAATGTTTGCTTGAATGTGGGCAGTTCCCACAGTGGTAACAAAAGTACTTTACTTTAGTGAGACTACAGATGTTTACATACTTTTCTGTGAAACTGTATTATTAATGCAAGAACCTTAAAAAGTTACAATAGTTTTTAACTTTTAGTTGTAAATAATTTCCATAATTGCAGTAGATGATGGATGTTATAGAATGTTGTTGAATTAACTAAACTTATTGGTAGGTGTAACAGTGCCTGAAAACTGTTTAGAATATCAACTTTCAAGAACAAGAATCAAATGCAGTAGTTTTTTATTTATTCTGTTCCTCACTGGGAGGAGTTATGTTTAGTTGTTGGAAATGTCTTTGCTGTGGAACTGCAAATAATTTTTTCTTTTAAATTAAAACAGTTCGGTACAAACTGTCTAGTTTGAACTTTATTGTTATTGACATATTTTAGATCTGTCAAGAATCTTTGTTTTTGCATAAAGTTTTCAGTAAAGCTCTTATGTGTTGAAAAGGTTTTTTTTAACACATTAGTTAGTGAACAGACGATAGTGTACATACGTACATAGGTAGATAATGAAAAGATGAATACATTTTGTTCCTGCAGTTATTGCTGGTGTGTACACTATTGTTCCATAAAGTAAAGAATGGGAAAAAAAATATTTGCATTTTTTAAAGTAGCAGAACTTTAATGTATGCTGGTATATTTTGATTTTGAAATACAGAACTGGGGGTCATTGTTTTTGATGGTGGTAACAGGGATGAGAGGCATTGATTAATTTTTAAACTTAATATTTCACAGGAACATACTGATGTCTGAAAATCCAAGTTTAAAATAATCCTTGAACTTCATATTCATGAACTTTTTACACTAATTTCAAGTGCAGTAATTTCTTTTCAATATTCACATACCAGTCAGAATATTGTGTCTTTTCTGTCAGATATAAATACTTGAAAATGAACAGTGTTTAGATGTTATTTATGAGCTCACCGGATAATGATTAAGAAACTGATTAGAATGGTCTTGGCACAAATTGAATACCAAAAACGTTGGTATGTGCATAAGAATTGCAAGCACAGGAAGATGGCCTGTGCAAGACTTCTAGGTCAAGGATGATGGATCTATTTTACTGCCTGGCACCAGATTTGCTTATCAGTTGTAAGTGAGACCAGCTGTCTTTGGCTCCAGTACCATCCTGGTAGACTTCATAAGATTTATGTTTTTCTGGACATCCTTTGATTATTGCCTTGTATGTGATTATTTTGAGAGTGACACAAATGACATTCATTTCAGTTGTGAGGTGGTTTCTTAAATCTGATTCTAGAATTTCACACAAGAAATAATTGGTGTTATGGGTAGATACATAAATAACAGCAAATATATATCTTACATAAAACATTATGCCTTGGCGTACTGGGTGTTACTGATTAATCAAGTATCTCCAGATGTTAATAGAGACAAACTTTGTACTGAATTATGCCAGTCATGATCTCAGTTTGTGCCAAACACAGGACTAGTGCCAATGATTTGCCACCTTCCATCTGTGTTCTACCCATTGGGTCTGAGATTAAGAATGAGTAAGTGATGACATTCTGAGAGACTATAACTATTAAAGTCATATATAACTGAATTCGGTCATCTGTCAGTTCCAAGTAATTGTGGATTAATATGGGTTCTGGAGTGGGAGCACGCAGTAGTATAGTTGGTTGAGGGGCTATGCTACAAGCCGGAAGGTCGTGGGTTCAAGACCCGATGAGGTCATTGGATTTTTTCAGTTGACCTAATCCTTCCAGCCGCACTAGACCCTGGGGTTTACTCAGCCTTTAACAGAAATTAGTACCAGGAATTAATTAAATAATTTTCCTGTGGGGTAAAGCGTGGCCGGCACATCGGGCTGACAACCTTACCGCCATCTTTGAGCCGATTGTCTGGATAGTGTGGGACCCTCAACATCTCACAACCAAATGGGCCTTCACGGTCTGGTACAAGGATAGCTTTTTTTTTATGGGTTCTGGAGTTAATACTGAATGAATCCCCTTCTAATTTTAGTAATGATATCCTCCTCATCATTGTCATCTGATTCACTAAATAACACAAACGGCTATAATACATGACAAATGGTTTGTGATGCTGAGAGAGTCACAGCTGCAAGGTTGCAAAATTGTGTGATATTCCACTTTATCTTGACACCTGACTGCAATTAGAATAATAAAAAAAAAACACAGCATGGCACTATTGGGACATGGAAACATCATGCATAGACCTACTGTTCTACACTTCTTGCTTGAAATAATGGATTTTCTGACTGTCTTTTTAAACTGAAAATTGGTCAAAAATCAGTTTCTTGTTTTGCTTTTTGAATGGAGTAAAGTTGCCCTTGTAGTTAGTTGAGCTCCATGCTATGAAGACACATGGGGGAGTGGTAATAGTTCTTT